TATATCCCAATCCTCGAAGGGTTTGGCTGGACTGCTTAAGTGGCCAAGTTTTAGGCCACCAATGAGAGGAGATTAGACTCTGTTCTGCCCCTGTATCTAGTATGCCTTCAAATTTCTTTCCCTGTATACTCAAAGTCATCTTTGGTCTGGAGCCCAAATCCATTATTAGATTGGCCTCATTTCTTTCTTCATTAGATATGGGTATTAATTGAGCAATGGTATCTCCCTCCTTTATTTCTATAGGCCATTGTGGACTGGAGCATAGAACCTGAAATTTTGGGCCCTGGACAACTCCTGGAAATACAATTATCTTTTGTCCTGAAAACTTACTACATCCTATTAGAAGACCTTGTAAACTTTTTGTAGAGGCCATTAAGACCTGCGCGGGAACAGGTTGGGGTCCTTGATCTGGATCTAATAGGACATTGGAGGTGGCGTACACGTCCAATCTTCCCATTCCTCCGTGGGGGAGATGATTTCCTGAAATCGGTCCCCGAATCGCTGCTGCAATTGGGCTTTGGACCATGGGCATGTTTGGGCGGGGTTTCCATATTTGTCTGGGCCCTGGAACTGAGGGCCCCTCATCTCGTTTTTTGGCTTAAATTCTTGTTTTGGGCTCTTCCAAGGCCTTGGGGGAACCAAAAGTTTTCCCTCAATGTCTCTTATAGATCTACAGTTCTCGGCCTTGTGTGCCCCTTTTCTGCATCTAGTGCAGATTTTAGTTGTAAGATTATTTGGGGCTGCACTCTTGCAGTCTTTTTTTAAAATGTCCCATTTTGCCACATTGATAACAAGGTCCTTTGCCTCTTCCTTGAGGAGCATTTTTGGCAATATGCATTATAGCTGCCGCCAGCCCTGCATTAGATAATGGGCCCCCTAACTCTCTACATACCCTTAACCAATCTTGTAATCCTTTACCCTTTCGAGGGGCAATGGCATTACGGCATTCTTGTGTTGCTTGTTCAAAAACTAATTGCTCAATAAGAGGCATTGCAGATTCTGAATCTCCAAAAATTCTGTTTGCTGCCTTGGTCATCCTGGCCACAAAATCTGAAAATGATTCCTGTGGGCCCTGTATAATTTTGGTTAGCTGGGTTGCTCCTTCTCCCTTTTTAGTTAAAGCTTTCCATGCTCTAATTGCCGTCATGGAAACCTGTTGATAGGCTCCCCAGGCATAAGTATTTTGTTCATTTGCATATCTTCCTTGTCCTGTTAACATTTCATATGTCCATTGTTGTTGTTCAGGGGTTAAGGAGGCTGCATTGATTTGGGCTTGCTCTTGTGCAGCCTCATACCATAGTGCCTTCCACTCTAAAAATTGGCCCATGCTATTAAGCGTAGCCTTTGCAATAGTTTGCCAGTCAGTAGGCGTCATAGAATCTCTTGCCAGTCTGTCTAGCTGTGCTAAAGTAAAATTTGCATTCACTCCATATTTTCTTACTGCTTCAGCCAATTCTTTTATTTGATTATATTCTATAGGTGCATAGATCCGTCCCATGCCTTCTTGCCCTTCTATGGGTGCTTCAAAGATTGGGAAGGCCATGCCTAACTTTCTCCTCACAGTTTTTGAAAGGAGTGAGCAAGATGGCTGCATTGAATAAGGTGGGGGGGTAGTAGCAGCTCCCTGTCCCACAGCATAGGGCACTGGGTTCTTATATTCCAGTGGCCTGTATCTATTTTCTTCATAATTTGCTGCTTGTTCTTCTAATTCTATCTCTTCTTCTGGGCTTAAACTGCTCTCTTCTAACTGCAGAGCAGCAAGTTCCCTTGTGGGGTATAAATACCCCTTTGGTAAGTTTCTTCCCTGTCTAAAACCTGTTACTTGGTTTCTTGCTCCGTCCTTTTCGACAGTGCTCTCTCCCCTGCCTTCCTCTGGCTTACCGGGAGGTCCATTTTCACTTTGGGCCCTATTTTCTTTTGCACGTGCTCCCATCCTTTCACTTCGTTTGGTTTCTGATAGGCTGTCCTGGAGATCCTCTAGAACCATTTGCCCTTCCTCCATAACTTCCTGACAGTAACCCGCGTGGAGGCATAGGGTAAGAAGCAGAATTACAAAGGCTCCCATAATCAAGGCAAAAACAATTCCAGCAATCTCCACAATATCCATACCTCTCCGAACCTACCTGCAGTTCTGAATCCTCCTCCTGTATTGGAGGGGTCTTTAGGCGGCGCAAGCGATGTTGATTCCCGGGTCTCGGCACCAGCTGTCCCCGACCGCTTTCCGTCTCACCGGCAAGAACGACGCGGGAGGACAAGTCAGGATCCTTCTGCAGCAGTTTATTTCAAGACTGAAGACCAAAGACCCCGAGAAGTGGGAGAGCTGTTGCTTATATATGCCCTAAAGGTCCCATTTATGACGTATAAGAAGCGGATTGGTTGCTGGAGATCACGCCACGGGAGGAGGCGAGGGAGAGCAGGCTCTTGTGCACGCCCCTTATGGGTGCAGCAGGATGTTTACTATTAAGAAGGTCCGGATACCGGCGCCATCTTGTAATGGCGGCGGAGGCTGCGGCTCTCCACACCCTAGCATAATTAATGTTAGTAGAATTATGTCATCCAATGGTATTGAATATATTGATGGAAAAAATTTCTTTGAAAGATGAAGACAGAACAAACACAGAAATCAAGTCAATGGACAGTAATTTCTCGTATTTCATTTTTAGCATAAGGTAATAGCAGTACACTTGTCTGTTAGTATGAATTAAGTCTTGAAGAATGGGATATTGCTGATGATATAAGAAAAAATATTCCGATAATATTCTTATAAAGACAGTTCATGATATATCATGATATATTGCACAATATAGTGGATGATATTAGGATGTAAACTTCCCAATTTTACAGGGGAAGGTTAAATGTGCTGAATGAGATGATAACAGTTAAAGAATATATGATGGCAATCTTTTGAAGTCTCTTGTGATTGTGACAGTCCTTATGTATAGAATATCAAGGTTCTTGTCTGAGTGCAAAAATAATGAGGTTCTATGTACAGTCTGAATAGGATGAGAAGCCATAAAACAATAACTTAAGAGGACTATTAAGGCAATGTATGACTGCCTAGCAATATCTGGAGCCTCATAAAATTAGTAATCACAAGCTTAAACTAATGATAAACCTTTGCTAGGGAACAATTTTGTACTGTTATTCTCCTAAATAGACATTGTAATAAACTGACTCTAATTTCTTATATCTGTTCACAAATCACTGCATTGTACAACTCTCAATATACAAACTTCTTTTTGTAGTAGGTGATGATTAAAACAGAGACTCAGAATCACTCAGAGAATAGGAGTACTGTGGAGTCCTTAGATCTAAATGGACATCTACATCATTCCCCCTTCCCACAAGGTTCAGGGCATTCCAGACTCAGGGGCAGTAAGATTGTAGAACAAGATATAGCAGATGCTTTGCAAGACATGATAATACATTTGCACACAAGAAATCACACTGCCTGAGCTTGCATACACAAGACTTGCTCAACATCAAGTCACAGAGAATCCAGGCATGGATGGGGGAGGGCCTCATTACGTCTCACAACTTCATCAAGAGCTATTGGCTATTGATAAGTTCTAGAGAAAGAATCAGTTTTTGTCAAGGATGTGGGCACCAAGAGGCTACCAGTGCTCAGGTACAAGTTCTCATACCCATGAACATACAAGCAGTACTGAATGGATTCTGTGGAAACTAAAAATTGAGAGTATATGAAGTTGGGGTAGTGAAGATGTAGGGAATTGGATTTGGAGGGGAGGTAATGCATTTTATCCAAATGCATTATATACATATATAAATATTAACAAAAGTATTAAAATAACATAAAAATTAAAAGTGATGGCAGTCAAGATGATTATGTTTGATGTAGTTTTTAATGACAAATGGCAAATTTATATAAACAAAGTAGCAAGAAAATTGAAAGTTACTAGGAAAGATAAAAAGAAAGACCATAACAATGTATCATGCTATTTGAGAAAAAAACACAAAATTGTTTGAGAAGAGGTATTGGGAAGGGGGTCAGATTGTGAGGTATAGATTCCAGTGAAGACCAAATAACTAGTTTGGGTTCATTAGGTTGGTAATATTGGGAAAAAGTTATTGTAGTTAAGAGGGTAAAATTTATCAGATCATAGGAGCTTGAGTATTGATAAAAGTACAAGATAGTCACATAAAACATAAATCAAATAACCACACTGATAGACTGGAATGTACTAAAAAGATGATGGGGTGAACAGTAGCCCTCTTCATCAATAATGATTTGTTGAATTATTTTATTAGAGTACTCTCAATTTTCTTTTCTTTTTCTTTTTTTTTTTTTCTTTTTGTCTTTTTGTGACACGGTATCCTGTAGCCCCAGCTGGCCTGAAAATCACTATGTACACCAGTTTGCATTCGAACTCACAGAAATTTGCCTGCCTCTGCCGTCCATGCACTGGTATTAAAGTCGTGCACCATTATCCTGGCCTTAAAGTTTTTGTTTATTGATTGATTTATTGATTATTTATATTTTCTGTGAATGAATATATATTAGTTACTTTTCTGTTGCTGTGATAGAAACACTAACCAAAGCAACTTATGAAAGGAAGACTTTATTTGAGCGTATGGTTCCAGTGGAATTACAGTCCGTCTTAGCAGGGAAGCATGGGGGCAGAGGTGCCTGGAAGAGGAGCTAAATCTAAGCTCTACATCTTCCAGCAGGCACAGGAAACAAGCGAGCAACTGGAGATGGCAAGGAATAAGAACTGTCTAAACCCACCCCCCAGTGAAGTTCTTCTTCCAGAATAGACACACCTTCAAAGACCTCCCAAAACAGTGCCAACAACTGGGGACAAAATGTCCAAAATACTTGGAGCTTATGGGGGACATTTTCATTCAAACCACCACAGCATGTATTGCCTGAATTTACTGAAGTGTGCCTGTGTCAACAATGCCCTCGGAGGACAGAAACAGACATCTGATCTCCTGGAACTGGAGCTAAGACAGTTGTTAGCTGGGTAATAGGATTTGAACACAGGTCTTTTGATTTTTAACCCCTGAAATAAAATTCCTCGTACTTATATATCTATCTATATATATATCTATATATATATATAGTGTCAGTGTTAATAATAGAGTTTTGTTTTATTTTATTTCATTATTTTTAAAAGGATAATTGTAAAACCTGGGGAGAGACAATTGGAGTTCACCTAAAAATGAAATTGTTTTATTAAGTTTTGCACTTCAGGGGCTGAAAAGATGGTTCAGTAGTTAAGAACACTGGCTGCTCTAGCAGAGAACTTGGGTTTGGTTGCTGGCACCAGTGTTAATAATAGAGTTTTGTTTTATTTTATTTCATTATTTTTAAAAGGATAATTGTAAAACCTGGGGAGAGACAATTGGAGTTCACCTAAAAATGAAATTGTTTTATTAAGTTTTGCACTTCAGGGGCTGAAAAGATGGTTCAGTAGTTAAGAACACTGGCTGCTCTAGCAGAGAACTTGGGTTTGGTTGCTGGCACCACATGATGGTAAACAGCTGCCCCTAATTAAATTTACAGGGAATTTCACACCTTCTGGCATCTGTGAGGCACTGATGGCAAATGTATAATTACATACATGCAGGCAAAACACTCATATATATTAAACAAAATACATAAACATCTCTGATTAATCAAAATGTGCTATTATTTTTTACAGGGAAAAGTGAACAGCACTATTAAAAAAAAAAAAAACTATGTAAGGGTTGATGATATATTTTTGCTGTTGTTGTTGCTTTTTGTTTTTTGTTTTGGACGGGAACACCGTAGTACCAGCCCAGCTGGAACTTCTAGGACTCACCACAGACATCTGCCTCCCTCTGCCTCCAGAGGGCTGGGACTGAAAGTGCTCACTGCCATGTCTGGCATAGAGGTTGATGATACTTTAAAAAGAAGTCATATATTGGTTTAACCAAATTCTGCTGTTAAGTATTTTATTTCCATTGACCATTTGGGAGGAGAAGGTGATTCAGCAAATGATTTGTAAAGAATGGAAATTTGCAGGGTTGTACCTGTCACTATAGCTAAATAAAGACAACATCCAGTGTATTCTGTAAGTCTCAGATTAGAATGTGTCTTCCTGAAGTATGTTTCTATCAAGGAAACATACGGGTGGAGGGTTTCCTTAGTTAGTTCTTGCTTTCTATGAGCAGAAGATTCAGATTAAATTCAGTATTGTGAGTGATAGCCTTAAGAGATAATGTGCAATGAAAATCATCAATCCTCAATAAGGTAACCTCAAGAAGTGAATTAAGGCAACAGTGGTGTGGAACACTCTTATTTCAAGAAACTAGGAAGATGCCTGGGGTCTTGAGTGATGATTCCACAACAGGAAGCAAAAATATTGATAAAACAGAAAAATTTAGATATGAATATAGAAATGAATTCTCTAGAAGCTTCCCCAAATTAAAATAATTTTCTGATCATGAATTAACCTGAAATTTTTTAAATGATTTATTTTGACTCTGATATGTTACTCTACCTTTCATTTCTTGAGAGACATATATTATCCGCAATTAATTGCTTTAATTTCTAAAAAAAAAAATAAGAAAAAAGAAAAATTGAGTGCTGGTGTTGAATGATGTTGTGGCTAGAATACCTTCTGAGAGGCTTAAACATTATCTTGCCCTCTCCTCCTTTGGTTCCTGTGACAAGTCAATGAACAATTTTGACAAACTGCAGTCTGGGAAATCAATTAGATTGGGCTTACATATATAGAGTAAAGGCTTCCTTACAAGAATGTGGGTGCTCCCCTCCTAAGGCTGCACTGGAAAGTCTTCAT